TGTAGATGGACACAATACAATGCCTTTATTTTTATGTGGTGCTGAGAATCGAACCTGGGTCCCTCCCGTGCTAGGCGAGCGCTCTACCGCTGAGCCACAATCCCAGCCCCCTGAGGCTGCCTTTTGAACTCCTCTCTTAGCCTCCTGAGCCACTGGGATTACAGGCCTGTGCCACCATGCCCAGCATATTCTTCCTTGTAATGATCTTTAAGATGGGGGGGCGGGGGGAATCACAGAAGATTATATGTCTCTTTTGGGGGGGAGGTGGGATTTACTGAGGATTGAACCTGGGGGCATTCTACCAGTCAGATACATGTACCTCAGTTCCCCGCTTTTTTTGTTGTTGTTTTTAAATTTGAGCAGAATCTCACAAAGTTGCCCAGGCTGGCTTCAAATTTACCACTATACTCCTGCCTCAGCCTCTTGAGTGACTTAGATTACAGGGCTGCGCTCTGAAAGTAGGACTAGGCTGCCTCCCATTGGTAGAGAGCTTGCCCCAGGCATTTGTTCAGTCCCCAGTAGAGCAAAAAACAAACAAGCAAAATAATGACAAAGAATTTTTAGGTGGTTGGTGAGGAGTAACTGAGCCAAGATACTGCAGAATCTGCCAGTTCTTTATCAGATCACTCAGGTTGCTTCATGCAGGCATTTTGAAAATAAAGTCAGGAGAAACAAAAGCTGTTTCAGGGAGAATATTGGAAATCCAGTTCATCTGAAGGGTAGATTAGCTGATTCCTGTATAGAACCACCATGGTTCTTGGAGTTGGGAATAGCATGTGTCATATCAGCTAACTAAAAATATATTTTAAAAGAAGCAGGATTGACTTCATTCATTCCTGCAATTACTTGGTTCACTTTCATACTCTATGGACCAGTTAATATGATAAGTAACTGAGCTCTTTTTGGGGGATCAATAATTGTACAAATTTGACATGTACTAACTGTCACCAATAAAGGATTTCTTACTGGGAGGCGGATCCTCAGCATGAGGGAGGCTTTGGGCTCAATTCCTAGCATCAAAAGGGGGAAAAAAAAAGTTACATATGAGGAAGCACATGAGAATAGAAAGGGCTGATATGTATATTTCCTTTACTTGTTTATTGCAATGAGCATGTATTGATACGTTACTTGTTATTTTATAAAAAAAGAATAACTGGAAGAGTTTAATGACTCCTTACTGATTCTGTTATATATTTGATCACATTTTGTTCTCTTAGGAATTTTGAAATAACTGTCATATAACTCTAATATCTTGATACTGATATACTTCCTAACTAATGGATTTTTCTCTTTTCCAAGCTGCTTTTTAAAAAAATCACCCAAAGTTACCACCACTTGAAAACAATCAATATTTTGGGAGATTTCTGCTAAATTTTATTACAATTATGTGTGTGATTAGTTTACTGTTTAAAAAATAAACCTACCAATGTGTAATCTTCCTTTTTTATTCCTACTTACACCATTTTCCATTTTATTATATATTTTGTATTTTTAGTGGCAAACAGCCTATAATAGACTCTTAGAAATTTAGGGATTAGCTATTATGTTGACATATGTTAACATCTGCGTGTCTGTAAGCAGGTAGTTGGTATAAAAACTATATAATGGTAAGAATCTAATCATGAATTGTTTTTCAATAGAGATTAAAATGTAGTAAACAGAGGCTAGAGGCATGTGGTTTAGTGATAGAGTACTTGCTTAGCATGTGTAAGGCCTGGGTTTCAAATGTCCAGAACTGCAAAGTGGGTAAGGGGAATGGAGTAAATAACCACAGTTTCTGGTATGCAAAGACATCAACATACTTAAAATATTGTTTCTGTAAATTTGGGGAGGGTTTGCGTAATTTAATGCTATCAACCTTTTACATTTTTTTCAAGAATTAAAAAATATTTAGGGCTGGGGATGTCGCTCAAGCGGTAGCGCGCTTCTCTGGTATGCGTGCGGCCCAGGTTTGATCCTCAGCACCACATACAAACAAAGATGTTGTGTTCGCAGAGAACTAAAAAAAAAAAAAAAAAAGATTCTTAAAAAAAAAAGGTAAAAAATATATATATTTATTTTTTATTTTTACTTCCTTTTTTACTGTTTTCTTTCTTTCACTAAAATATCGATGTCAGATTTTTTTGTTTTTATTGTGCTGGTGATCAAACACAGGATTTAAATCATGCTATGCTGATGCTCTACTGTTGATCCATACCCTCAGCCCTGTTAATACTCCCAGTTTTAAGTTTTGTCCTAGAGTTAAACCAAAATACCTAAGATCAGGAGGTGAAATACACTTTGACAAATCAGCTAATGAGTAAACTGAACAGTCTTGGGCATAAATAATTAATCTGGCTTTAGCATATTGAGTATATGCTACTTGTCTTTCAAAGTATTCACACTTGGATAATTTTTTTAAAGGTATTTGTCACCTAAATCTCTATTTGGATCAGCAACACAGTCTGAAGTTGTACAAGAAGTCAGGAGAAACTCCACAACTAAGGTATGTTAATGCTGAAGACATTCTTGATTAGGCACATTTACTGATGGTATAGATTATTTATGGTTTCCTAACTTTTTTTAAAGCACTATAGTTAATAGAATATCCTTTTATAGTCATCTAGTCATCTTAGACTTACCTAAAAGGGATCAACAAATGTTTTCTCTCAAGGACCAGGTGGAGCTATTTTAATTTTTGTGATCAAAACAGTC